ATTTAAGTCTTTGATCCATCTGGAATTAGTTTTTGTGTATGGTGTGAGGTACAGATCTTGTTTCATTTTTCTGCAAATGGATATCCAGTTTTAAACAAACATTCTTTCCCCCATTTAATGGATTTTGGCCCTTTGTCAAAGATCAGCTGACCATAGGTCTATGGATCTATTTCTAGGTTCTCAATTCTATTCCATTTCTATGTGTCTGTCATTGTACCAATACCAGGCAATTATGACTATGTGGCTGTATAGTAGGTTTTGAGATCCAGCAGTGTGAGAGCTCCTACTTTGGTCTTCAGTAGTGCTTTGCTTATCTGAGGTCTCTTTCCTTCCTGTATTTTCATTCTCATTTGATTCAAGGAATTTTTGAATTTCAATTTTTATTTCTACTCTTACCCAGTCTTTCTTAAGGAAGGTGTTGTTCAGTTTCCATGTGTTTCACAATGTTCAATCTTCCTATTCATGAGTATAGTATGTTCTTCTATTTATGTAGATCTCTTATGGTTTCCTGAAGTAGTTTTTTATAGTTTTCTTTGTAGAGATCTTTTGTGTCCTGGGTAAGATTTATTCCCAAGCATTTTATTTTTTGGTAGCTATTGTAAGTGGTATTGATTTCCTTATTTCTTTTTCAGCAATCTCTTTGCTGGTGTAGAGGAATCCAACTGCTTTTTGGATGTTGATCTTGTATCCTGCCTCTATGCTAAATCTCTCAATTAGTTCCAGTAGATTTTTCACTGAGTCTCTTGGGTTTTCTAGGTATGGGATCATATCATCAGTAAATAGGGATAGTTTGACTTCTTCCTTACCAATTTGGATGCCTTTAATTTCCCTTTCTTGTCTGATTGCCCTGGCTAGGACTTCCAATACAATGTTGAATAGAAGCAGTGATAGAGGGCATCCTTTTCTGGTTCCTGTTTGCAAGGGGAATGGTTTCACTCTCTCTCCACTGAGAATAATGTTGGCTGTTGGTTTTGCATATATCCCCTTTACTATGTCAAGGAATGTCCCTTCTATTCCAATTTTGCTGAGAGTTTTATCAGGAATGGGTGTTGGATTTTATTAAATACCTTTTCTGCAACAATTTATATGATCATGTGGTTCTTTTCCTTTGTTTTATTTAT